ATTGGATTTACTTATAGATATAATATTATGGTGGTCATGACAATATTAACTAAAGACGAGTGCAGGAAGGAGCGTGAAGGAAACGAAAATAATATCGTATACGTACCTAATGCGTTAACACGATAACAACCTATTAAGGCGGTGGTTCACCCAAACCATTACACACTCGCCCAGATATAAATATTACGTTTGTAAGGTGAAACCTAACACACAACAACACATAATAATATTATAATGACATTATCTATCGTCTGGTCAGCGCACATTATAAATTCCTCGTTTATTTCGACGAAGAGTTATRTACTCTTTCGTACAACGAGCTCGTTAACAGCCGCGGTAAAAAAATAATCAACGTGTATCGCGCACGTTTTTAGTCCGCGACAAGATATGTTTTTTTTGATTTTAAACACGGCAAGGTCAATGCGGATGTCGACACTCTATATGTTACTCCGATATAAAATATTATATATTATAACTTTACACTGTCGTCGTGACGTAGAGATACGCATGTATTATGTATGCACATCACACTCGCGTGTTAAATATAATAGACAAACTGTAAATTCTTCGAGTTTCCGGCTTTGACTTGGCTAAACAAATGTACGTACTACCGAATGAATTAGACACGAGAACTGTGCGTTTCTTACGTGGGCTGGCGAGTAGCGCATTATATTATCATAAAATATTAATAAACTAATAACTAATATTCGTATATACCGTTTGTCACTTTTCAGTTTGATTTTGTCAAAAGACGTTCGCAGATTTACGTTTTTTTTTTCCAAAATGCATATTATTATCTTTAAATTGAGCTACTGATGTCGTAAAACGACTCAAACGAGTTACGCTATAATATAATGTCCCAAAATCCTAACAAAACGCCTCGTCGYGGGGATGAGGCGGTCGCCTTATATTTTTACGGTGCAGTGATAGAATGTCACAGTACCTATGATAACATACGTGACGACGTTACACAATATGATGTATATATAATATTATAATAATATGTGTTCGGTGGACGCACGTGCTGTTTTCCATAAACAATTATGAATGGAAATAAAAAATTAAACACTACTATGTGACGCTACTAAGTGTGCTGATATATTATTTTATACATTATATTATTACTTTACTGAAATCCAACAAACCTACTAAATCATAAACCGCCGTTCTAAAGAGTTTAATAGAACTTTTATTTTTTTTTTCTCAATTGACAAATAATATTGCATGAACTCACTAAATGCCTTTGATTATTTTTTCATCTTTATTATAAAAAGTAGCCCCGTGGAAATTGGTTCTTTAACACTCAAGTCAAAGCATTGGTAGTAAAACCAGAATTATCAAACGGGACAATGTGTTTATCGATAGTGTTTCGACGATTAGATATTGTAAAATATAGAGTCGAATAGACATATACTTTATGCCTGTGAAAATGAAAAATATATTTCAATTCAATTTTAGAATAATACGCAATGATTGTCTGCTGCATGTATACAACCACAAAGTGGCCCATTTATTTAAAAAGCACCAACTTACGAGGTCAGTGCCGAAAACGAATGAATAAATGGCTGCACCAAGGTATGCATAATTATGTTTTATATACATATACCAATCGCAAGCTATTTAGGTATAGGTAATGACCACATAGACTAATGTATAAGGAATGGATAAGACAAGCAAAATATATAATTTCATCAACTATACATGCGCCTCTTTCCACCACTCCAAAATAAAAATAAATTACGCATACATGATGATATATATACTGCTTGTCCTATCCATTGCTTTATAAATCAACTATACGAGCATTACCTCGTTATATATCTGGTGATCGGTGCATATATAAGTGCAGCCAATTCATTTGTTTTCGGCACATTTTTTTTTATTTTTGTATATTTTTTTTGTGTACGACTTTAAGTCGTTTTCGACGCGCTGTGCAAATATCGTCGAATGCCGCGACATAAGATAGGGCAGGCGCGCTGAATGTCCAACACGCGGGAAGTGCATCGACGATAAGGCGGTGACGACGGATGTCCGTTTGTGACGAAACAATACATTGGTGACTCGTGACGTCGTTAGGACGATAAATATTACGCTGTTGTTGAATTCACGATAGAAAAATGTAATAGAAAAAACCAATGGCGCATAAACGTGAAAACCGAAAACGAGATGCGTGTAAAACGATCGCGAAACGTCGTTGTATATAGTTGTACGGCCGACGACGTTGTTATTGTTATTGYAAATGTTTCGGACCCATTTCGATATTCACACACAAACGGCAAATGGAAAACATCATTATGACGACGCCGTCGAGGTCGTCTTCGCCGCTGACAATTCTATGTAGGTATTCGACGCTCGGGAGAAAAGAAAACAATATTACGTTATTTACACGTTATTGCATCTCGGCGGCGGCGAGTCATATTAAATAATATTATAATATTATAATGTTATACTCTTCGACGCAATATTTATGACATACCACGCGACACGTCTCAACAACAATCCGATAACAATAATAAAAACAAAAATGACGGCGATGACAATACATACGTGTCTCTTATAAAAGCAGTACAACAGCGGCGGACCGATGGCATAATAATATAGCACGTATAGGTAGCGTACACCGTACAACACAACAATATTGTCGCTGTGCAGTAGTGTGCCTTTTGTACTTTGCGTTTTCGTCACACTGTAGGTAGGTGCCTATATGAATCGGACGATGACTACGTTACGCCACGCAAGTTTTGTGATACGGCCGCCGTGGACCGGACAACCGGACGGACAGACGCGAGAGAAAGTGTGCCCGCGGAGGGCACCGAGAGAGAGAGAGTGGCTGCGGTAAAATTCGTAGTCGTCGTCGTCGTCGCCGCGAAGGTCGATGGGTAAAAAAAAAACATCTAAGTGCTCACAGTTATAATAATAATAATAATAATAATGATAGTAATATTATTATGTAAATTTCACCGTGCTCGAAATACCGGTAGTACTGGTATATGCGCAAGACTTTGATATTATTATGATATAGGTACTTTTACGGTACGACTTCGTACATGTCGGTAATATTATTTTAATTTATTTACATAGAATAATATTATAGCCTAACCTATACGTAGTATTATATTAGCGGTCGTCCTCGGCGCGTTCGTCGAGCGACAGGCGTTATGTAATTATTTTATTTTATCGTTCGCTCGACGACTTTTCGAACGAGGAAATGTAGCCGGTAAGTGTGTTTTATAATATACRGTTTGCCAATCAATATTATTACTCGGTCGGTGCCGTTGTCGTTTAAGATATTGATTTATTCGATTTATTGCTTCTATTCTTCGAAGGTATGCTTAATAAGTCGGGATTACGACAGCGAGCTGTGCGGGCGTCAGCAACGGCATCTGGCAGGGATGTAGGAAAATAATAAATAAATGACTAGGTAGGTATGTCATTATTGTTATTCTTTTTGGCTGGACAATGGCGGAAAAAACGTGGATGCTTGTCATGACGACGACAACGACGACAAAGGCTATACAATGTGAAATAATAAATCGTGTTTATTCGTCGTCGTCATTGCCGCCGCCGTTAGTACGGCCACCTAAACCGAGTACGGATGTCTATAGCAACAGTTGCTCCCTATGGTGATCCCTATGGTTCATRTGGGTTGTATCCCTATGGTGATAATCTAACCATATAATATTATTAAATACATAATATGTGCATTGTGCGGTGCGGAAAAAAATTCAAAAAATAACCCAACAAAGGACTATTATATAGGTACTTCATATCATCGTCGAAAAAAATCTCTATAGTCGTCCCTAGCGCGTTATATACAGGTAACACAATTGCAATATAGAATACAAACATCACTGAGATGGACATGGGTCGTAGACTGACTAGTATTGTCACAGTGGCGACGAGCAAAGTACGAAATCAGCCAAAGGTCTGGCCAATCGAATACGCATCAGCGATTTCATTGATAACATCACGACTCGCAAGTGAAATAGTTTGTCGTTAAAGCGCGTAGACTACTTATAGTCCTATGGCCGTGGTGGTGAGGTGGATGGGTGTGGACCTCTGAGATAAAACCGGTTGTCTTAAGCGCTCGAGTCCAGGACTTCCKCCGCGCCTGGAACTTCACGATACGCGAGCATGTGTGTTAGTGCCGATCAGATTGTCGATAGAGAGAGAGAGAGAGAGTGAGAGACGGTGCGGTGGTGTTACTTAGCTGTGGAGGACGATGTAATGAGACGGACGGATGGATATCGATAAATGTAGATGTGGGCAGACAGAGACTGCAGGGAGGTATATAGAGTGAGAGGAAAAGAAAACGACAAGCGTTGGCTGGTTCCGCTCTTCGACAACGTTCTGGATCACTTGGACACACGACGACGGGTTTGTACGTGTATATAGCGTGTGTGTGTGTTGCACGCTGTAAGTTCGAAGAGCACTTTAACGTAAAATCATGTCAAGTATAGCTGCCTACCTATTTGCAAAATTTATAATAACTATAATGCTACCCTTCAGCCAATAATAATAAGTGAGCATATTATTACTACTATTATTATTACAACGGTGAGTAACATAAAGTAATGCTGTAGTGGCGTGCACGCGTATGGACTGCCGCCGCTTTAGATTTCTCTTCGCGGGGTCGGTTGACCGTGTCGCCGCGCGCGGACGGTTCGAGCCACGGATATCTTTTATTATATTATAAAGCCAACCAACCCGATTGACCAACTCTATACAATTAAATAGGTAGGTTTGTAGGTAGACAGTGCAGGTACCTATTGTGCAGCTATATAAACCGTCGGACYGCYGAGTRGTGTGGGTAAGGGGAGAGAGGAAGAAAAGTTACCACCACCATGTCGTACATCATGCGGCTACCGGCTACATAATCGTTTATGTGAACACTSAAGGGATAATGTTGTGGAAATAATACGTTTAAATAAATAAAATAAATACGTAATATATGGCTATTAAACATAAACATATAATAATATGATGGTACGGGTACTTACACCACTTGCGCAGGAAGCTGCTGGTGAGTTTAGTGCACAGTTTGCCTTTCTTGTTATGCATGTCGATGGCGGCCGGTCTTTGTATGTGGCCACGCGGACTGCAACAGTATCGGTCGGCTTGATAGCTTACCAAACGCGGCGCGAGTTCACCGCGAGAACATTAATCTGACGAGGACGATATCGCGAGTATTATGAGCGTGTGGAGCGCACCGCGAGGCGGCGGGCTTTCGTTCGAATGCGATTTACGAATAAATTATTATTATTATTTTTATTTCCTCGGTGTCAAAGGAGAGAGAGTTGCTGCTACTGCTGCTGCGACGGCGTCGTCGTTACGTGTGTTCGAAGAAACGTGTGGCGTTGAATGTACACGGACTGTGGCGGCGGCAACGGTGGTAGCGTCGGTAAAAATATTATAGTTGTAATGCTTACGACTGGCGCGCAGGGGAACGGTGTACGCCGCAGTCGACGATGTTGTGTTATTGTTGTTGCCTTGTTTCGCGCGTGAAATACAAAACGATTTCGTTTGGTGTGTATGGAAAATCGTCGAAACGATTATGATTACAGTAAAATAAATATTATTTGCTGACGATCTACGCGTTGTTCTGTGCTACGGTAGTCGGGCGCCGGGTCGCGATAACAGACTGACTGACTCGACTTGACCGACGGACTGCAGCGGCGGCGGATGGCTCTCGCGGCGCGCGCGACCTCACTCCCTCTCTCACCAATGGCCGACGCGCTCTCACCGCCACGGCCGCCGCTCTACTCGCGCACCACAAGAATATATAATTTACCAGAAGAAGAATAAGAAGTAGAAGAAGGTTACCTCGCCGCCGCGATGGTGACACGTCGATAACGTACCAGTTACAAACACTCACACACACACACACCGGTCCTGTCGTCTTCACTCGTTATAGGTCTAACGCAATAAGGGAATATTGAGAAGCGCTCTTCAAACTTATGTACCATAGTGGAGCTATCTAAAATTTAAAACATTTTCTTCAATATCATACACTTTACAAATCATTGAAATGGTTAACAGTTTTAAATATTACAAACTCCATGTAACAAGAACGATCATAACCGATGGTAGGATGGGAACAGTTTGTCTCAAGTGTCACATGTCTCCAATAGTACCTAAAAAATTTAAATCGAACAAAATCACATAAAAAAAAAAATGCTTACTTAGGTAATTAATTTTTTTAAATTTCTGAATTAGCCTATTTCTGTCTTATTTTTTGTCAGCTGTTAAAATTATAAAAATTGATTATTTTAGAGTTGCATATTAAGTTTTTGATTTTTGATAGGAATAATAATACAGTCTTGCAAAACAATTAAGAAATAGATAAATTCTCAGGTGCAGGTGGAAGAATCTTACAATTAGAAAAAAAATTAATATTATAGACAATATATAAATAATATATTATAGGCACRATTGCAATCTGTTTACATGTTTTACTAATATGGCTATCGTTGTTTGAAAATCAAAAACTTAACGTTCTTTTACTTGAAACATTTTTATTTTATATTGACATAGATATAATTTTGAAATTATGTCAATAAATTTACATTTTCTTATGAATGTTTCAATATTTAATTACATTTATTTGCCACTGAATTAATTGAGAAATACGGAACTTTTGGTACTTAATTGTATGCCTGATGTAATAAAATAAAGAATTTATTTTGCAAATAAATGAAGCCATAATTGAGAGTCGC